TTCCTCCTCCTCCTTTCCTCCCACTTCCTCCTTCCTCTCTCCTCTTCCTCCCTTTCTTCCCCCCTTCTCTTCCTCTCTCCTCTTCTCCTTCTCCCTCCTCCTCACTACTCGTCCTTCCTCTTCCTCTTCTCCTCTCCTCCTCCTTCTCCCTCCACCCTCCTTCTTTCTCCCCTCCACCTCCTTCTTTCTCCCTCCACCTCCTTCTTTCTCCCTCCACCTCCTTCTTTCTCCCTCCACCTCCTTCTTTCTCCCTCCACCTCCTTCTTTCTCCTCCTTCTTCCTCCCTCTCTTCCTTCTTCCTCCTTCCTCTCTCCTCTTCCTTCTTCCTCCTCTTTGTCCTTCCTTTTCCTCCTTTTCTCCCCTCCTTTCTCCCTCCCTCCCTCCCTCCCTTCCTCCCACCTCCTTTCTCCCTCTACCTCCTTCTTATTCCCCTTTCTCCTCCTTTCTCCCGTTTCCGCCTCCTTATTCCCCCTTTCTCCTCCTTTCTCCCGCTTCCTCTTTCCTCCCTCTTCTTCCTACTTCCTCTCACCTCCTTTCTCCTTCCTTCATCCCTCCTCATTAGCCTTCCTCTTCCTCCTCCTTCTTTATCCCCCTCCATTTTCCTTCTCACTCTTTTTCCTCCTTTCTCCCTTCCTCCTCCTTTCTCCCTCCCTTCTCTTCTTTGTCCTGCCACCGCCTCCTCCTTTCTCCCCCTCTTCCTTCTTCTTTTTTCTTCCCCCCTCCCTCTTCTTCCTCTTTCCTCCTCTTTCTCCTTATCTTCCTTTTCTTTCTTTCGTCCTCTTCCTCTCTCTTCTTCCTCGTTTTCCTTTCTCCTTCCTTCTTCCTCTTGTTACTCCTTTTTCTCCCTCTTCCTACTTCTCCCTCTACCTCCTCCTTTCTTCCTACTCCCTCTTCTTCCTCCTTTTCTCTCTTTCTTCCTCCCTTTTCTTCGTCTTCCTCCTCCTTTTCCCTCTTTGTTCCTCCTCCTTTTCCCTCTTTCTTCCTCCTCCATTTTCTTCCTCCTCTTTTTCTTCGTATTCCTCCTCCTTTCCTCTCCCCTATTCCCTCTTTTTCCTCCTCCTTTCTCCTACTTTTCCCTCTTTCTTCCTCCACCTCCTCTATTTTCTTCCTCCTTTTTCTTCGTCTTCCGCCTCCTTCTCCCTCTTCTTCCCCCTTCCTCCTACCTCTCCTTCCTCCTGCACCTTCTTCCTCCTCCTCCACCTTCTTCCTCTTCCTTCTCCTTCTTCCTCCTCCTCTTTTCAGTAATAATAAACGTTAATATTATCATGTTAATGTTATTAGTACCATTATTGTGATTGTTATTATTAGTTACTAATATCATTATTACTCTTACTGTTATTGTTATTACAATTGTTATATTTATTATTGTTATTAATGTCATTAATGTTAGTGATATAAAATGTTATTTATGTTATTGTTATTATTACTATTATTGTTATTGGCATTGTTCTTGCTGTTATTTTTATTATTATCATTAATAATAATATTATTGTCATTAGAAATTATATTATCATTATTATTATCATTTGAATGATAATTTAATTATTATTATCATTATAATTTAATTATTATTATCATTATCATTAAGAATATCATTATTTTTTATATCGTTATTATGAATATCATTATTATCATTATTATTATCATTATTATTATTATTGTTATTATTATTATTACTATTATTATTATTATTATCATTGTTATTTTTATTATTCTTATCATCGTCGCCGTCGCCACCACCACCACTACCTAATTTTTATATGAATCATAATTAGATTGTTTTCCTTTGCTGAATCCTTGTCCTTGTTCTTTGGAAAGGGTTATCTTTATTCTCCAGTCGCGAGTGATGACGATGTTTCCCGCAATGTTGATTACTCTCCTCATGCGAGTGTTTGTGTTGTGGTTTTGTTGCAGGTCAGTAGCGGATGTTCCCTTGTGTTGAAGGCCTTTGAGTGCGCGGCCTTGGGCGAGTGCGCGCGGAGCCTCGAGCCGGAGTTCGCCGACGCCGCCCTCGAAGGGCCTCCAGCCAGCCCTTCCGGAACCTTCCTAGCGTCTCCCAAGAGCGACCCTCTCGCTGATAGTCCCAGGGAGGATCAGCGCACGGACAGGCAGGACGCCATGCAGGAGCAGCAGCAGCAGCACCTCCGGGCCATGCTGGGCACCAGTGGGCAGCTAGCGTACTACGGCCTCCGCCTGGCGCCGCCGCCGCACGTGACGACAAACACGGTGTCGGGCGGCATCTGCTCGACGACCTTCGGGGGGATGAGAGCCCCGAACGCCGTGCCCTCCGTGCGACCTGCGCTCTATCTCCCCATGCATGCTTATCAGCATCCTTCCTCCACCGTGTCCTCTGTCACGGCAGCTGCTGTTAGCACTGCGACCGCTGCTGCGCCCTCCACGCCCACCACGTCCAACACGCACTGTCGCGTCGCCAGTTCCACGTCCAGCAGCGTGGACAGCAGCACTCCGAAGAGTCCCAAGGCGAACAAGAGCGAGAGCAAGGCCAGCGCCGGCAGCCAGGAAGGCAGAGGAGGCCACGGCCACGAGGAGGGGACTGGGCACCCTCAGGAGGACGGGGGAGGACGCAGCCAGGAGGGAGGAGGCATTCAGAGCCAAGACGGAAGAGGCACCTCCGCCCCAGAGGGTGGCGCGGGAGGCAGGAGTCAAGAAGGTGGGGGTATCCGGAAGTCCCCCCCGCCCCCGTCGCGGATGGTTACTCGCAGCCAAACGGCAGCCGGGCGGACCACCATCAATCTGGAGGTCGAGGAGCGCGTGTCCAATGTACGCGCCAAAGGGCACAAGCGCGCACGTTCTTGCAGCAGCGAGCGCGAAGTCGTAAGTCCCCGGAAGGTGTGCCGCGAGCCCACCGCCAGCGCCTCTGTCGGCTTTGATGACTTCGCTTTCTCAAAGAACCCTGCCGGGGCTGGCATCGAGTTCGGGGCGGTTTGTTCGGATTGCGGCGCCGTGGCTGTGACTGGCGCGGGCTGGACTGCACACCAGGCCGCCCACCGCGGGGAAGGAGCTGCCTGCAGCTTCTGCACTCAGGTGTTCCTCAGCAGCCATGGTCGTGACGCCCACCAGCAACTGCACAGGGAAGGACACACGCGAGACGTGGACGATTACTGCGAATGCGGGCTCTGCGGCGGATCCTTCATCGCTGTCATGTACCTGGAGCTGCACCTGCTGGAGCTGCACGGCCGCGACGCTCTCTACGACCCGCGCTCGCTGCACCTGGGCCCTACGACCTCCGCGGAGCCTACCTGCCCCCCGGAGGACGAGAGCGGCCGCCAGCTGTTCCGGTGCGGGGTCTGTCACTCGCTCTTCACTTTCAGCCTCAATCTTGACTGCCACATGGCACTCCACTCGGATGTCTCTTACGGCTGCGCCCTTTGCGATGCATTATTCCCTGCTCTCGACCCGCTGGTCACGCATTCGAAAGCCCACAGGTTCGCCGGCATAGCGCCGCCCCCTGCACCAGGCATGGCAGTTCATGCATCTTCCCCGCAGGTTCCCCCGCGACGCCATGCCCCGCCCCAGCGCCACGTCCTGCCACCCACAGCACCGGCGCCCATGAATGTATGGGGAGCACAGCCAATGAGGGCGGCGCACCACCCTTCAACCGTCCCTGCAGCTCAGCCCATGACTTCTCCGATCGGTGTGCCTATGAACCCCACCATGAACCCGACAATGACCCCGACCATAAACCCTTCTATGAATCCCGCCATGAACCCTGCCATGACCTCCGCTATGAACCCTGCCATGAACTCTGCCATGAACTCCGCCATGACGCCTGCCATGCTGAACTACTGCATGATGATGTCCCTTTGGGGCGGCGACAAAACCCCGGCTACTTCGGAGACGTCGGTCTGGCCCAACTACTTCAACCCTGCTATGGCTAATGTCTTCAACTACTTCAATCCATACCTCCTTAATAACAATAACAACAACAACAGCACTCCCAACAACAACAACCCGAGCAACGGCAGCAAAGGGAGCCTGGGCGGGGGCATGCGCAAGGACGGCATCGAGGCGGCGACGGGGGCGCTGGGGAGGGAGGACGCCGCGGTGGACGGGTCTGCCTGAAAGCGCAGAGCCTCGAGAGGAGGAGCGCAGGTGCGTTGCAGGTGAAATGACGCTCATTGGGTTTAATAATAAGATTACTGTGAACCATCAGCAGTTGCGTCGAGTTGAAGCAAACCCCGGAGTTACCACAGCCATTTCTAAGTACTGTCTCTGTGATGCGTTATTATGGCAAGAGTGGTTTTCATTCCGTGTAATGACGGCGTGACCGATATCAGTGGCAGTTCTTAGTAAATGCTCTAGTCTGGAGGGACAAAGATCGCTTCTAGAGTGGGAACTTGTACCAGTGATCAAGGTACCGATCAAGACTAAAACAGTCATTCGCGCTGTTATAGATCAGCCTCAGAATATTTGGCAAAGGATATGTATGTCATTTTGCTTCGTGATAATACATCAGTCGTTTTTGTTATTATTTTGTTGTGTATATAGAGTTTGTATTTGAATATTAGATTGTAATATTGTTATGAAAATAGTCCTATGACGAATACGACATTCTTCCAATAGTTATAAATTGTTGAATTTTTGTTCTGTTCAGTGACTAAGATTTTATAGATTAGTAATTATGAATGTTTGATATGACTAGATAATATCCCGATGAACAAGATTTAATCACGACAACAATAGATTTTATTCAGTTTTGAAACAAGCAATCGAAAGGATGATTTTCAGTTTGAAAATATGATTTCTTTTTTAGAGTAGCCATGGCTCAAAATATCTTAAATAAGATTGTATATGATAATGTAATTGACAGGAACTATGCAGTGACCCAAGTGATATTTTGATTTATAGGTATTTTATCTAAGGACGATATTTAGTTAATCTGGACGATGTAAGAATAATAATAATTTTCTTTTACATAACACATCCATGTCCAATGTGCTTCTTACGTCATTCTTATTAAATAATACAAATATGAACCTCTTCATTTTAATCTAACCTTCAAACAATTCATAAGCCAATTGTGGGACCCAACCTCATCTGCTTGTGAATAAGTCACTTGTTTACTTTGTATATCTTAGGTATGCCATGTATAAGATGTAAATGTCCAAAGAAAAAAAATCTGGATTTCTTAATCAATAATTTTATCTTCGCAGGAAAACAACTGAGGGGAGAAGCACATGAGAAATTGTTATAAAAAATTACGCTCGCACACCTCTTTCATTCACTTCAAAATAGTTCGGTCTGAAAGCGCATTGTATTCAGAAGTATACGTTGCTTCTACTACTAAATTTCAAATGAATGGAAATCTATATCAACGCCCAGCCCTTGCATTTATAACAGCAAATCGTGTGGTTTGAATCTTGTGTGAACCATACACGAATAAATTACATACAAAATGACCTTAGTGTTGTAGTGCCACGCAAACTTCCTCTGATCATCGCACAACCGCGTGTGATAATATACATACAATCAATCATAAACCTATACTATCTAACACTTTACACATTAATACAGCTATCCAGAACCTAAAGCATTGTACGAGGAGAATTTTGTGGGTCGGAGATGGCAGGTCACGTAGATCGGCACGTAATCTACTATTTAATACAGGTGTTGCAAATCTGTCTTCGTTTAGGAGATGGACCGAGATTTTACCTGACCAAAGCAGAATTTACCCGATTTTCTTTGTTGATGTCACTAAAATATTTCTATGTGGAGTTTGTTTTCAATGTCGAAATCATTTTACTTGTAATGTTATCCTCTACGACCCCGACCCCGAAACCTTTACTTCTATTAATTGGATTTCGAATCCTTTCTCATTCTCCAATTCCATGAGATTGAAATATCTATATTTTCTCTTACTTTAATGAAATGGTTATACTTTACGCAGCCATCGCCTAAATGTGATATTCTTTTCTCTGCGAGGATGTACACTGATACCAAGAAGTTCGTGTCTTCACCTATTTTACAGGTTAATAATATTTTAAGAATAATATCTAATGCCTCACTCTCTCTCTCATTCACTCTCTCTCTCTCTCTCCTCTCTCTCTCTCTCTCTCTCTCTCTCTCTCTCTCTCTCTCATTCACGCTCTCTCTCATTCACGCTCTCTCTCTCTTCTCTCTCGCTCTCTCTCTCTCGCTCTCGCTCTCGCTCTCGCTCTCGCTCTCGCTCTCGCTCTCGCTCTCGCTCTCGCTCTCGCTCTCGCTCTCTCTCTCTCTCGCTCTCGCTCTCGCTCTCTCTCTCTCTCTCTCTCATTCCTCTTCCCTCTCATCCTTTGATTAGAAATTGTACCATTATGGTAATAGAGAATGCGTCCTACCCAGATTCTATTCCCTCTTAGGCAAGGAGGAAATTCCCACGCTTATCGTGCACTTCGATCGGTGTCATTATATCCTGAAGCAAGTAACGTAACCCTTTGGTCTCCTGTTCCGACCGGATGGGTGGCGTGATTCAGCCCCGGTCAAATCAGACTGACTGGCCCAGTGCCTTGTCAACCGGACACTATACAGTCGGCATCGGTCAGGTCCCGGGAATGCCAGCAGTACTGTGTTGTCCACGTAGGCTAGCTCTTGGTGTAGATAGTTGGACCGCGTGGCGGGCTGGGAGGCTGGGGAAAATAAGGAACTGATATAGCAAATCGTGCCTCTCTGAAGGGAATCGTTATCAGGCTCATACTATTCCGGAAGGGGATTGATTTCAGGCTCTACTGACCTTAGAGCACCTTTTGACAGCCCCACCGGAACCACAATGGCAGCTCTACTCTGAAGCATTTATGTCATCCTAGTAGTATTTAGCATCCAGTAAGAGGGGTAATCAAGGAAGAGGGGCTCTTTAAACCTTCATGGGATCTTTATCCAAATCTATACACGAAACCCGTAACAATCATGTGGTTAAGACCTCTAAATGTGCATCCATCTTGCTCTCTGTGACATCTGCGATACAAGTTTGCTGAAGTCCTCCAACATGATCCGGCCACCATTCCCCTTGAGAGATGGTATCCTTCTGGTCGATTCTGTATCCCCAGATTAGTACAACCGTGCTAGTACGACATACGACATACAAAGGCCAAACTTCTCATGTAACCTTATTGTTTCTGTGAGTGCTTTTGAGGCAGTGACATGAAAGCGCCTCGAGGTAGTTGATGGTGAGGCACATCCTTCTCCCACCCAGCTCTTGATCTATGATGTTCATCCATCCCAGATGTATCAACTTGGTCTCGGATCACTTCCAGCAATCTCTCACCACTCTGCATAACGCCCCTGATAAGAAAAGTTTGTGCATGATGATGTCCAGAAACTGTTTAAAGATGCTGCAAGAGGATGTCATGTTTTCCTGACAAGAAGGGCTTCTTATTACTTACATAATAAAAGATATATAATTCTTATCAAATGGGTACTCGGATGCAATAGGACTCTCCACATCCATACGAAAAAAAATGATTGCAAAATCTAAGATCTGAAACTCACTGGAAATTCTTACAAGATACCGTTACCAGGAGATCGACCAGGTTTCACTGAGGAGGTACCGAAATAAGTTCATTATGGGCCATTGCTTGTCTAGCACATTTATTATTAACCATTAACCATTAACCATGGGCCATTGCTAGTGGGTCTCAAAGTGCGATGAGGCCTCAAAATATACCTTTACAAACTCCGTATCTGCGAGCGAGGATGGTATGCACTGACTTGGCAAGACTATTTTTCTGGGTGGTTATCTCTATCTCCATCTGATCTTGAAATATACAGAACTGATAGCTGTTTTCCTACTTGGGAGACAATGCTTGCAACTCCCCACTCCACATTTACTTATTGAGTGACAATTTAATGCATTTCCTCTCTCGGCTAACCATTCACTCATTGATTCTTCATCACTTAACCTTTCTTTCTTTATCTTTCTCCTTCTACAGCCTCGCATTCTCTCTTTGTCTGTCTAGTTGTTTATCTGTTTCTCTGGCTCTACATCTGCCTCTGTCTCAGTCTGTCTACCTCTCCCTCTACCCCTTCTCTCTCGTCCTCTCTATCAATCTATCTGTCTATCTATCTATCTATAAAGACACACACACACACACACACACACACACACACACACACACACACACACACACACACATACACATACACATACACATACACATACACATACACATACACATACACATACACATACACATACACGCACGCGCACACGCTCACATATTTATTTATATGTAAATATCTGCATCTATCTAGCTATCTAACGGTCAGTTTGTTAAAAATTGTGCGAGGCCCGACCCTTTGAATATTCCCATATGCGGACATAAACATACACAGAAATAAATGCATATCTATCTTTTATCTTTCTTTAATGAATGTTAATTAGGTCGGGCCTCGCACAATTCTAACGAACCGACCGTATATTCATAGATAGACTGATAGATGTACATACAAGCACACTTCCGTATTGCCTATTTTTTCCTCTCCCTCTCTTCCTCTTGGCTCCTCCCTCTCCCCACCTCCCACACCTCTCTCTCATGTGTCCGTTTTCTATGAGCTGTCGACTATGACGTCACAGTCAGATGATATTTTGTCAACAAATGTCTCTTCGGGAACCCATTGCCGCTTTTTCTCTTTCTTAGCAGTTCCTGTCACTGTGTTTCTCCTCCAAGTAAGTTTATGAAGAAATATATTGCATAAACTGTTTGTTAGTGTTACTTCTTTAAAGATTGTCGGCATAATTTAGGAAATAATGAAGGGAAAGGGGGCGGCGGGGAAAAGGTTAGAGGTCGATCCCTTTTCCTATGTAGATTGCATTATTTTCCCTTTGATTTTATTCCATTTTCTAGTTTTGTGAATTTGCATTTTGCTTTTTAACGTTTTCACTTTGTTTGATGGGTATGGTTAGCTTGGTAGGAAAAGTGTACGTCTGTTTGTTTTTTTAAGGGTGTAGTTTTTAATGTACCAGTTTTTTCCCAGATTTTTCTATTTTTTTATGAACTATGTTAAAGTTTTGGAAACACAAAATGAGTGTTTTATGGTGCAAGCCAGGGCCCTTATTTTACTAATGGTAAATTTTGATTAAGGAGAAAATATGCAGAAAGATCTTAGGGAATTATTTCAATATACATTGCATCTTACATGGCACCATTAAGAAATATGAATATTGACTACAGATGATTACAAAAATCCAAAAGGTCTAAGAAGTGATTTGAGGAAGAATTATGTACTATCAAAATGGATTTTTTTTAGAATACCCTTGAATAACAGATCACAGCTATTTTGGTATTGATAGATTCCTCTCACTCTTTTCTATCCAGATGTAGGGAAATTATGCCAGGGAACCCCCTCCCCCCCTAATTACCAGCAATCTTGGTTTCCATAGCAGGGGAGGTCATGAAAGGTACTAGGGAAGTTGTTGAGTAATATATGAATAATATACAGAGAATCAGTCACTATATTGTCTAATGCAGGGGCTGCCACCCCTCAACCCTTGCAGTGGAATATTGAGAATGCTTCATGTATTCTTGGCAGGGTTGAGTGTACAATGGACATGCAGGAGCACCCAGTGTGTACATTACTCTCTCTTGCCATGAATATGGAGAGGATTCTATATTTTCCTGGGTGGGGGTTGTACACAGGGTACATAATTTTTGGAAAGCATCATTTGTTTGGATATATATTTACTCAATGACTGCCTTGAGTTATGGAAAACTAATGACAATATCATAAAGAAAGGGAAAAACTACTTTGATTGACATGTGAAGTGATCTGTGTAGGCAGAGAATAAGATCAGAAATGGAGTAATAAAGTTGTGACAGATGTTGCACGAAAGAAGTAGAACATGGTAATTGGGTGTAGGTTTGTGGATG